ATCTCAGCCGTCCAATGTGCTTGTACAAAGCTGCTAATGCTGCTATAAAGTAAGTGTTTTGAAATGTATTTCTAATGTGGAGAATACAAAGGACTTATCCAGAAATCCATAAATCCTTCCAATGCTGAGAGATGATGTTAGGAGTCTTCCAATGCTAGAGGATCTTGGTAATGCTGCAATAAAATTACACAGTACAGTGTAGTATGCTGCAAATCTATGTGACAAGGTGTTATCTCAAATCGACTTGAAAATTAATTTTCGGATCCAGATATACGTGACTGCACTTGTCGCTGGTGCCTTCATGACGCTTAGGACATTGTTGGATAACATTCATTGTGCCAGGATCTGTTAAACGGAAAATTCTGAAATTCCTGTGGAGCGTCCACGTTCAGACAAAGGAAAAGATACAAACAGGAGACGGAGTATACCTGGAAGGATCTTGAGGTGCCATTACAATTGCAATAGCTTCTTGCAACATCACTTGTTGAGATGGTTTAACAACTTTTAAAGCCAAAATGGACGGCCTAATTAATTGGAAAGAGTTAATAGTTAATTGAAATAAGGACGGCCTAGTTACATCATACTGTTTCCTTGGGATGGAGCCATGCTGCTGTTCATAGTCACTAGCATTATCTCTTACACGCTTAGTTGAGGGTCCAATTCTGCTTTCCGGGGAAGTTGGGTGGCCAGTCACTGCAGCCCGCTCAATGGTACCATTAACATCTCGGGCTCTATCTCTATCATCATGCTCAACTTTGAATCGTGGCCAACAAGTCTGCACATAATTGTCCACTGGGGTTCGGTTCTCTGCTCTATCATTTTCACCAGCTCGGTGGGATGAATACTCAGACATATCCAGAAAGCTGCTTGAGCTAAATCTGCCCAAAATACTACTATGCAAACGGAGGTCCCTGGCATAGAGCTGCGCCAGCAAACTCCGCGGACAGAGATTTGTGCCAGGGTAGTTTTCGACCTCCAGCTATGAGCTACAGGTAAACTTCGCAGTGAAGGCTGCAGTCCCAAGTGTTGGTGTATCCAGATGTGCTCTTGGTAAAGGCTCAATCAAATCCTGTGGCCTAATGAGCCTCTCCACAATGCTTTTACCCTCGCAAGCTTTGATTCCATATAGAATGTCAGCCTTAACTTCAGCCACCACTGCAATAGTAGCTTTTTTCATGCAAATTAGCTAACCCTAATCCTTTAAACCCTAAAGATTGTCATTCTCTTGTTTTAGGGTTCTTGGCTAGATGCCTTATGGACGATGACAAATTCTCTAAATGCAAAGAAGCGATCCAAAGACTAATGGTGATGATTGAGAGCTTTGATGCCAATTGTGATTATGATTCAAATTCTGATATGTATGAAGATTATGCCTATTTGGGATTGAATTTACATTCTTGTATATAAGTAGGGGTCTAAACCCTAATTAATATATTTATTCCTATATCCACTTACAATTAGAAAAAAACAATCTTTTTTTAGTATGTGCCTCCTTTTTATATATTTTATGTTTTAAAATCAGTATGGAGTGGCTTAACAAAATAAAGGTAGTGTATATAATCAAAATTCCATTATGTTTATAATTATATATATAGCCATATTTCTATTCCTCACAATTTTAAATTTAAATAAAATAAAATCAATATTACTTTTTATTATTTAATTATATTTAATGCAAAACCCCATGTTAGAATCTTTAAACACGATGAAATCTAGCCGTGAGGACGCTTGAGCTGCACCACGACCACCGTCTTATTGTCTTCGACGCTCATGGCTTGCATGCTATCACAAAAGAAAGCGAGCTGCATAGCCTGCCCATCACCACCGTGCCTAGATTCTTCTTGCTCAACCAGCCAATCGTGGACACTGGGACAAATGCTCTCGACGCAATCCCGGGGCACACCATCCGACGCTAGCACCAAAAACTCGCAGCCCCCATCCCGGAGATCAATTTCCACAACGTCGGGCAGAGCCACTACCGCCTGCTCGTCGCGTCCCAAACCAGCGTTGCTCTTCCATCGAAAATCCCCCAGAGATCGCGTCACCTGGAGTCCAATGGCGCCGACCTCGCCCCCGACGCTCACACCATTCAGCTGGATCCACTTGTTCTTCATGACGACCGCACCAGCCTTGCTCGCGCGCTCGGCATCGTCCAGCCGCGACTGGACATTGTGATCGATAGTCACTGGCACCGCCTTGTTGTCTCGCCAGATCATGCAATAGCTATCGCCGGCGTGAGCGATAACGAGCCTATCATCGCGGATCAAGACGGCCACTGCGGTCGTCCCGTGAGACCCAGGCGACGTTCCCGTGATACTGTTCCAGGAATACAAAGGTGATGTGTTCTCGCGCTCGAGTCTCTCCAGCTCCTGGATTCCTGCCTTGGTTTGCATCTTCTCGTCCATCTCGAGGAAAACCTGGCGGAATCCAGAAGCAAAGTCGCCCTTTTGGTAGTGTGGATTGGCGACGAGGTGCCTGTGGAGATTCTGGGCGCAGAAGCGCGCCGCCGCGCAGCCGCCGTGGCCATCATAGACCGCAACGAAGGAGCTCTTGGCGTCTAGGTCGGGGATCACAGTGTAAACATCTTCCATTCGACGTTTTGCACCTTGAGTCGCTGCAGCACCCACCCTGATCCTGGAATTCTCCATCACCGCTTTGTGGACTCGATCTGGCTTCCAATTCTTGAACATGCCAAGCGGATCATCGTCTCGTCGTTGCATCCCCGAACCCTAATGTAGAGAAATAAAATCCTGTTTATAAACACAAGCATACCTTTTTGCGCCACCTACGTCTCATTGCATGGCTTTGCTTGCCCGATTGAGAGCGTTTGTCACGCACTGGTAGTGGTTCATGCTTGGCCGGATTCCAAACCGGAATACCATCACACTCCATAGCCGATCACACTCGTCCACAAGCCCGGCATGGTTACACGCCGCCAGCAGTGAAACAAAGGTGGCACCATCCGGCACAACTCCTTGCTCCACCATCAACCAGAACATCTCCAAGCCTCGCACCGCCTCACCTTGGCAGCCATAGCCGGCGACGAGAGCGTTCCAAGTGATGAGCCCCGGCCGAGTTCCGGAATCAAACACGAGCTGTGCGTCGGCCATGCCGGATCCTCCACACCCCGCGTAGAAACTCACCAAGCAAGTCACCAGCGCCGGCGTGCTCGTCTCCCATCCAAACCGGCACAGCTCGCCGTGGATGGCCTTTCCGTCTTTCAAAGCTCCCACACTCCCGCAAGCCTTGAGTGCCGCCACCAAAGTTTGGGCGTCTGGCCTTCCTAGATCCCGAAGTTGGCTCCTCAAGATCTCCATGGCGAGCTCTCCTTGGGCATTCTCCACACAGCCAAGAACAAGGCAAGTGAGCGTCACGGAGTCGCGAGCTTTCATCCGGGTATAGACCGCAAGAGAGTCGGCCAAGCTCCCGCATTTGAGATACATCTCGATCAAGCTGTTGTCCACGTATATGTCCCACTCGAATCTAGGAGCCGCGGCAGCAGCAGCATGGATCGCCATTCCTCTCTCCAGCGACACCATTTTCACGCTACTTCCATCTCCAATGGTGGCGGCGCCTTGTTCTTGGGCCGCGATGGCAGAGCATGCTAGCAACGCCGCGACGACGATCGCCCCAGTGAGTGTTTGAGCACGATGCATCGAATCAACGAAGAAGTCTAGAGCAAGTTCCCAGTGGCCGCTGTCCACGCAACCACGTACCAGCGCAGTCCACGATGCGGGGGTGGCGGCGCCACCATGGCTGTGCGCGTGGTAGGCTTCACAGACTCTACCACACGTCGCGTAGAGCTTGACAAGGGTGGCGGCGACGCTGGCGTGAGTGTCGCAGCCGCGAGCTCGAGCGAGGCTGTGGATCGCCATGCCGGTTTCCAGCTTCCAATTCCAATCGCTATGCCAACACGAGCAAGCCTTGAGCGCGGCCGCGAATGTGAGCTCGTTTGGAGCGCAAGTGGTGCGTAGCATCCGCTGGAAGAGCTCTAGCGCCGCCATGGGCTGGCCATTGTCCGCGTAGCCCGCGATCAGTGCCGTCCACGACACGACCGTGCGCGAGGGCGATGGCATCGCCTCGAAAACTCTGCTCGCATCGGCCATGCTCCCACACTTGGCATACAAATCCACCAAGCACGTCGCCACGAACACATTCCAAGGATGGAACTCCTCCCAGTGCGCGTGGATCGCCATGCCCTTCTCCAGCACCTCCAGCTTCGTCTTGATACCGAGCTCTCTACTCGCGCAGCTCGCGCAAGCCTTGAGCGCCGCCACCATCGCTCGCGAATCCGGGCGGCAGCCCTCGGCGAGCATGGCCTGGAAGAGCTCCAGCGCCAAATCGCCCTCGCCCGCCTGCGCGTGGCCCAGTACCAGCGCCGTCCAAGGCACCAGATTAGAGCGAGAGGGCGGCATTCCCTCAAACACCCTGCGCGCATCATCCATCCTCGCGCACCGCGCATACGCCACCGCTAGCGTGCTCGCCACGAACGTATTGGATTCCTGCCCTGATTCCACCGCCAAGGCGTGGATTCTCCGGCACTCGCCCACATCGGCACACTTCTTGAGAGCATCCACCAGCACGGTGGCCATGAAAGAGCTTTCTTTCTATTCGATGTGGAAGGGTTTTTACACTCTCCTCTCCTAGCTTATCTTTGAAACTAAGAGCTTATCTTGCGTTGTCCTTGAGGCTTCTCTCCACCTGGAAGAACAAGAATGCGAATCAAAACGATGCCTTGACACATTGTGCTCGCAAACCTCGTTTTTGATGCTCCGCAAGTTCTCAGCTATGGCGTCTTTGCCTTGGGCGCCTGCGAAAAAATCGGTTGTGAGCGAGGATACTGCCAAGGCTAGCTAGAGCTTGACCTTTCTGTGCCAATTCTTCCATGGCTTTGGACGATCGCACAGCAAATTTCTGGAACGCGACGCTGATGAATGGGGCAAGAGAGATTTAGCGAGCTCGAGCTTCCAATCGATCCTTACCTATTGGACAGCCGCTCTACCAGGAGCTCATTCAAGACGTACTGGAAGGCGCGCCCAAAAATTCCCATGAATCTCCTCTCGCTAACAATCTAGGGCACCAGTAGCCTAGGGTTCTTCGTGTATGGATGCGTCGTCTGTTATGGCGGTGGAGGACGACGACGCCGATTCTGATCCAGCCGCGGCAATGCGGCCTGCGATCCTTGTGCTGCTCCTCTGCCGCTGCCGCGCAGGATCACAGGGAGGATACGGATGAGATTGACAAGGTATGCTCCATTCTCTTCCGTGGCGGTGGATTATCCCCGGCATGGCGATCGGAGCTCAAGTCCCTCAATCTCGACTTGCGGCCTCAGCTAGTGGCTTCGGTGCTCCAGCGATCGACCGATGTGGGACTCTTGTCTTGCTTCTTCCAGTGGGCACAGCGGCAAGAGAGGTTCCAGCACGAGCCAGGCGCCTATGAGGCAATGCTGGAGGTTTTGGCTCTTGATCGAGATCGCGGGCAGCTGCTGGATTGGCTGCTGGATCAAGTGATCCTCAAGTGCCGGAACACGGGCTCCAGCCTCGTGGATTCTTTGCTTCGTGCTTACATGGGGGCTGGAAACGCTGCGCGGGCGATGGAAGCTTTCACGAGGCTGGCCAGAGTTTTCAAGCCCAACATCACTCTTTGCAACGCTTTCCTCGGATTGCTGCTCGAGGCCGGCGAGTATGAGCTCGCAAGCCAAGTTCTACACTTCATGATGCTCCACGGCTGCTATCCGGAAGATGGCACCTTCCGGCTCCTCATGGCCGCTGCACATCCCACCAAGGCCTTCGAGCTCTTCCAGAGCGCTATAGAGATTGGAAGAGTTCCTTCCTTCGGCCTCAATCGCCCGCTGCTCGAGTTCGTGTGCCGGGCCGCCACCGCCGACCAGGTTTGCAGGGTGGCGCATATCATCACCGACGGTAGCTTCTACTCGGACCTGGTGACTTGCAACTCTATCCTGAATGGCTTCCGGCTGGCCGGCAAGTGCGACGACGCTTACGAGTTCTTCCAGACCGTGAGGGCCAAAGGATGCAATCCCGACGACATTAGCTACCGGATCCTCGTGCTGGCTCATTGCAGAGCGGGAAGCATGGAGCGAGCTCTGGAGCTCTTCAAGACCATGCAAAGCATTGCAAGCCTGGATGTCAGGACTTGCAACATCATGGTGGACTCGCTGTGCAAGGGTGGTCTCGTGGACGATGCGGCGGAGCTCGTCCATGGTATGATGGACAAAGGGCCTTACCCCGACACTGTGACGTGCAATAGCCTCCTCGATGGCCTGTTCAAGGTGAACAAGGTGGAGCACGCCATGAAGCTGTACGAGAAGATGAGCCGGAGCTTCGTTAAGGCCGACGCTTTTACGTACAACATTCTTCTCCACGGGCTTTGCAAGGCCGGGAGGATTCAAGAGGCTTGCCAGAAGCTCTCGGCGGCACTGCGAGACCGAGAAGCGCCGGTGCGGCACGAGCTACTCTATGAGGCACTCATTGGTGGCCTGTGCAAGGTCGGAAAATACGACCACGCCATGGCGGTGTTTCGAAAGATGAAGCTGCCCAGCTCCATGTCCTACAACATTGTCATCGCTGCTTGCGTGAAGCGGGGCAGAAACGAAGCGGCAGTGGAGCTGTTTCGAGAGATGAAAGTCAAGAAGCGCGTCCCGGACATCTTCACTTTCAACACCGTGATCCAGTCCCTGTCCAAAGCTGGGAAGTTCAAGGAAGCTCTGGACATTGTGGACGAGATGGTGTGGCTCCAGTGCTCACCAAACGAGTTGACTTTCGGGCTTCTCGTGCACGGTTTGTGCAAAGCCAAGCGGGCCCTCGAAGCCGAGAGTGTGCTCGAGGTCATGGACACGGTCGGATGTGTCCCAGACGTTGTGCTTCTCACGGCACTGATAAGCGGCCACCTGAAGGAAGGAAGGGTCGATGATGCGTCAAGGCTGTTCGAGAGGATGCTGAGCGGCGGCCAGAGGTGGAGCAAGCCAAACTTGCGAACTTTCAACATCATGATCCACGGGTTGTGCAAGGCAAACAAAGTTGGCGAGGCGGACGCGTTGGTGAGGCGGATGGAAGACGAGTGTGGGGTCGCTCCGGACGAGTTCACTTTCAACACGATCATCGATGGCCACTTCAAGGCCGGGGACAGCAAGGGAGCCTTGTCGCTGTTCAAGGAGATGGCGAGGCTGGGGCGGTGCCGCTGCAGTGTGACGCTCAACACGGTGGTCACTGGACTGTGCAAAGCTGGAGAGGTGGACAGGGCCGTGACACTTGTCCGGGACTCGGCCTCGGCACGCCAGGCAACCGTCTTCATGTACAATGTGGTGATCGACAAGTTTGCCAAGCTCGGACGGTTTGAGGCAAGCAAGCAGCTCTTCCAAGAAATGAGCCGGTTTGGTTGCCATCCCGACTCGGTGACGTTTACCATCCTCGTCTCCGAGTCGTGCAAGCAGCGGCGGACACACGAAGCTCTCGAGCTCGTCGAGCAGATGACCAAGAACAAGGGGTGCTCGTGGACGACGCTCCCTTTCAACATGGTGCTCAATGCCTTGGCAAAGTCCGGGGAGATGGAAGCCGCGGGAAAGGTTCACCGGAGCATGAAGGTGGCAGGGATTGAATGCGACCTGGTGACTTACAACACGCTCCTCGACGGCTACTTTGGAGCTGGGCGAGCGCGATCGGGCGATGGCTACCGAGTTTTCGGCGAGCTTCTCCACAGCGGGTGTGCTCCAGACACTCTGTCGTTCAACGCGCTGCTGGGATGCTTGTGCTGCGATGGTAGATTGGAGGAGGCGGTGGCGAAGTTTTGGGGAGAGATGCGAGAGAGGAGAGAATGCTGGCCCGACGCTGTGACTCACGCTCTTCTCGTCCGCCAGTGCTGCAAGCAGCGAAACATCGAGCTAGCGTGTCGAATCGTGGACGAAATGCTCCATCGCGGCTTTGTTCCGACTCCAGGCATCGCCAGCATGCTCGTAAACTTGATCCAAAGTGGTAGCGATGATGCTCGCCATCGTCAGTGGCTGCAAAGCTTTCTTTCCTCCTCACAGAAAAGAGAGGACAGTCAAACAAGTGTGTGATTGACCACAGTCAATGGGTGATTGACTTTCATAGCGGTGGACGGTATCTTCTCTGGAATCATAGACGTCCCCTCTTCTTAGATTTTTATTTTTATTTTTTTTGTGTGGAGACTTTCGACCTTAGGGTTTCCCGTTCTGCTCGACAGGGGCCGGATGCGGCGCATCAGCTCGCGGTGATCGTGCTAGGCCTCGATTCGATTCGCCGGTAAGTCGGTGGCAGCAGGAAGTAGAGGTGGATTCTAGATCCCTGGGATGATCGGCCGGGAGTTCGCTTAGAAATCTCTCCGCCGCTGGATGAGAATGGGTGCAGGATTGTGAGGTTTAATCGGCAGCTAGCGAGAGCTATGGATCTGGGAGGTCCAGCCTCGCAAATCTCAGGGTAGGAAGGGGATTGACGCAGGGATTTGGGCTCGTTTAGCGGTGTGTAGAGGTTTCTTTTATGGCTAGAGGGAGAAAAGAGTTTCCTAGGAGTTACAACAAGAAAGAAGGCTGCTCTGGGCTTGGGCTCCCCGAGGCTCCGGTGTTTTACCCGACGGAGGAGGAGTTTAGCGATCCTCTCGAGTACATCGCACAGATTCGTCACTTGGCGGAGCCATACGGCCTGTGCAGGATAGTTCCTCCAAAGTTTTGGGATCCTCCGTTTGCGCTAGATCTCCAGTCCTTCTCCTTTCCGACCAAGCTTCAGGCTATACATCAGCTCCAAGAGAGGTCGGCGGCCTTAAATCCAGACACCTTTCGCTTCGAGTTCGACAGGTTTCTCGAGTCACAGGGGCGAGTTCTCGAGAGCTGGCCTCAGTTTTGCGGGGAAGAGCTTGACCTCTGTAAGGCTTACAACTGCGTCAAGCGGTATGGAGGCTATGAGAAGGTTATGGAGCAGCGGAAGTGGGGGGAAGTGCTGCGGATGGTGAAGCCGGACGTAAGTCCCGCCTCGTTTTCTACTGCTGCTCCTGCGAACCTGTGCCACCTTTACGAGAAACATCTGCTGGAATATGAGCGCCATCGTGCAGAAGGCTTGGCGAAACAGCCACCACAAGCAGTGCCCGAAGCAAGTGGTAACGTCGGGACTGGTGATGCAGTGGACGTGAAGATTGGTAGGAAGAGGTCGCTGGCTGAAGATGAAGTGAGTGCTTCGGTGGAGCCGCCAAAGCGAACTAAATCGGAAGATGAAGCCTCGATGCAGCAAAGGCTTGGGGACCAGTCTTGCGAGCAATGCCGTAGCAGAGCGCATGAGCAGCTTATGCTCAACTGTGACCTCTGTGATCGAGCGTGGCATATGTATTGCCTCTCCCCTCCTCTCTCGGAAATGCCCTCTGGAAGGTGGTACTGCCTCGACTGCGTTTCGTCCGAACAGGAAACGTTCGGCTTCTCTCAAGGCAATCGGCACACCCTGGACTCTTTCCGACGGATGTGTGACCGGTTCAAGAAGAAGTGGTTTGGCGGGCGTCCCGTGACTTACTCTGATGTGGAAGAGCAGTTCTGGGAGATAGTCGAAAGATCCACAGGACCTGTTGAAGTGCTCTATGGAAGCGACCTCGATACGTCTGTGTATGGAAGTGGGTTTCCTCGTCCGAATGATGCTGTTCCGAAGTGGGCTAAGCAGGATTCGTGGGAAGCGCACGCAAACAGCCCGTGGAATCTAAATAACTTTCCTAAGCTTAATGGATCAATGCTCCGGCTGGTAAATGAGAACATACCAGGAGTTATTGTACCATGGCTGTACGTGGGAATGCTCTTCTCCTCGTTCTGCTGGCATTACGAAGATCATTGTTTCTACTCTGTGAATTACCTCCACTGGTATGCTAACTGGTTTTGTGTTCTCTGGGTACTGATTACTTCCCTGCAGGGGAGAGCCTAAATGCTGGTATAGTGTACCTGGCAGTGCTTACGACGCGTTTGAAGAGGTAGAGTCTTCCTTTTGGGTGTGATTGTGCAGATTAACGTTTTCTTCACTTGCACAGGTTATGCGGTCGACGTTCCCAGATTTATTTCATGCACAGCCGGACTTGCTCTTTCAACTGGTTACGATGCTAAATCCAGCAGTTTTACGGGATAAAGGCGTGCCTGTGTGCACAACTTTGCAGGTAAGCTAGTGTTTCCAGTGGCTTTTTTCTTATTCCTTCTTGGTTTTAGGAGCCTGGAAATTTTGTCATCACCTTTCCACGGTCTTATCACGGAGGATTTAATCATGGTGAGACTGTTGTTGCTAGAAGTAGTACTGACTTTCTCCTTCGTTACAGGATTCAATTGCGCAGAAGCTGTCAATTTTGCTCCGCTGGACTGGATTCCGTTTGGAAGATTTAGCATCGAGCGCTATAGGTTCTTTCACAAAGCTGCTGTTCTTTCACACGAGGAGCTCCTTTGTGTCGTTGCCAAGGTGAGTGCGTTTTTATTTGCGTTCTATAGAAGCCTAAATGTTTGTGTCCTAGAACGAAGGGGCCGGAAAAGGTTGCTCCTGGATGCAAAATGAATTGATACGCATAACTTCCTTAGAGCGCAAGCTAAGAGAAGAGCTTTGGCAACGTGGAATGGTGAAAAGTTCGCGTATGCAACCGCGTGCGTACACTAATGTTGGCAAAGAAGAGGTCTGGTTCACTGAAATATATTTGACTCTTTCTTATATTTTGATGTGCAGGATGCCGAATGCATCATATGTCGTTATTATTTACATCTCTCGGCTGTGGTGTGCTCTTGTCGTCCTGGAAATGCCGTATGCCTGGAGGTAAGTAATACGAACTTTTAGCACTCAAAAGCTAATATTTCTGGTTTTTTGCTTCAGCACGCGGAGCAACTCTGCGAATGCAGCGCTGACAAAAAGTGCCTCCTTTATAGGCTTTCTTTGGCCGAGCTGGACGACATAGGATCAGAAATTTGCCACGTGAAGGAAGACAATAAAACCGACATTCTCCAGTGCAAAGAGGTACAAGAAGGCTGGCATTCGAGCTTGTGCATTGACTTGTTTTTATAGCTCAAGAGGAATGATATTTCCTTGATGCAACTTGCGAGCAATTGGATCTCCCGAGCTGCTTCTGCCAACTCGAAGGTCCCTTTGTTAGCTGATGTCGAGGATTTACTGCGGCAAGCGGAGCAGTTCTTGTGGGCAGGGCATGAGATGGACGAGGTTCGCCGACTGGAAAGTACTTTGGCTTTCAGGTATAACTGGGCAAAAGACGTTGCCGCATGTTATAATGCTGTGCAAGAGAGGCTTCACGATAGCAAAAGTGCTCGAGTCCTGCTGTCCCGGGTGAGCGATTTGGTGGCAGCAGATCCTTTACCCTGTGTCGAACCATATGCCTCAAAGCTCAAGGTACGCCTTCTTTCAACTCGGCAAACTAAAAATGTACGTATGTGCAGCCTTTTGTGCGGGATGGATGTAACTTACAAAAGCAAATTGGGATCCGTTTGTTGTCTTCCTCGCCAGACGTGGGTGACTAGACAAATGTCTATGTGTTTTTCTAGCATTTAACATTCCCGTTACAGGTCCGATCGCTGCAGAAGCTTCAGCATGAAATTCTTCGTCTGCCCTTCGACTTTCCCGAGGCGCAGAAGATGCAGGAAATCCTTACCACTGCTCAGGTCAGACAGTAGATTGTCTGCTGGATTTGACATTTTGTGTTTTGTGCTTCAGTTATGGTCTGAGAGAGTTCAGAGACTCCTTTCTACGGGAAAAGAAAGCCAGAAGCGAGAACTAGCCGATTTAAGTCAATTGCTTGAGTTGCAATCTGAGGTATCAATGTTTTCTCTTGAGTTCACGATTGTAATCACCAGCACGCAGGGTTTAAAGTTGTCCGTGATGGTTCCCGAGAAGCGTTTGTTGGACGTGGTGGTTAAGAAGGCGGAAAGCTGGCAACAACATGCAAGTGAGTTGCTCGAATGCAATCCACCTGTTCAGGTTTGTGGTGCTACTTTATGTTTGCTTTCTCTGATTTGAGCTTTCTAAACAGGAGCTTGAAGAAATTCTGTCCGAAGCAAGTGGATTACCAGTTAGACTACCTCAAGTTGACATACTCAGTAATTATCTTTTGGAAGCTCGATCCTGGTCTGAACGCGCTCAAGTCGCGCTAAAAACACTTCATGATCAAAGGGACTACGGTTCTGTAGTCGTAGTTCTGAAGGATTTGGTTGAAGCTAGCGAGTCCTTGCGAGCTCAGGGTTTGTTTTTGTCTTCGTCTTTGTTATAAAGCTCTTATACTTACTCTTCCAGTGGACGAACTGAGCACGGTGAAAATGGAGCTAAAGAGATTTTCCTGGATGGAGAAAGCATCTAACGTAATTTTTTTTTTCTTTCCTTGGACGTCCCTGACAGTTTTCTCTTTGTAGGCTTTAAGCTGCCGATCTCCGACTAGTGTCCTGGTCGAGCTTTCGGAAGAAGCGAATGGGTAAACCATTAATGCGTTTTGTTTACATTTCTTACGCTTTGGCTTCATATACATGTGCCAGGAATGAAGACTTGTTTTTAGAAGTTCGCAGCATTACGGGAGCAGCATTATCTTGGGAGGGAAAAGCCCGGGAAGCGCTGGGGCTGGGTGCAACTTACGATGTGTTCCTTGAGCTTGTTAGGTGAGCCCTTCTTGTTATGGCTTTCTGCTATATTGACACACTTCGTTTTGCAGTGAATCCGAAACTATAAATGTAGCTTTAGCGTGCCTTCCCGATGTGAAGAATGTAGTCAACCGAGCAGATTCTTGGTTGCCCCGCGCATCCAATTTAGCAGACCTTTGCACGAAAGATTCTATGAAAACTGTGAAACTCATCGAACTCGGTACGCTAAAGGTACATGCATACTCTTATCATGTTTATCATCTACTTACTCTTTATTATTCCAGGAGCTAGTCTCTGAGATGGACTCCTCACCTATCCTACTTCCCGAGCTTAAAGTCCTTCGAACTTGCCTTCGAGATCTTGAAGAATGGAGCCATCAAGCAACCATTGTGCAGGACCCCGTGAGGGGGCTGTTAACTGGAAACGGAACTTCGGTTGACTTAGACTCGAATGATCGGGTCTCCTCCTACATGGCGGAACTTCGCATGCAGTTATGCCGTTTGCACGAAATCGCAACTCAAGGTGTACCATACAATGTCGTCCTTGTACAGTTAGACGACGTACGAAATCTGGTAGATGCTGTAGAGTGGACTCTAAAAGCTCTGGAGCTGCTTTTGCGTTGCCCTTCGATACAGGTACTACTACGTTTGCTGTTTTACAATGATACATTGCTCGTTTTGTAGGCTCTTGAAGTGCTGCTCGAGACTGGCAAAAAAATGGTTCTGGTGACACGAGACTCTTTTGTGTTTAAGTATCTGGAAAGAGCTAAAAACCGTGCCAAGACCTGGCATTCGAAAGTAACTTCGTTGATTGAGGACTTCGAAACTAAAGTCTCTCCCATTCTAATTGAGCAGTTGCTTCTGGAGTCGAAGGTTGGTTTGCTATTCGGATTTACATTAACAATGTTTCACATGTGCAATTTGCAGGCATTAAAGATTGATTTTCGTTCGGAAGTTTCTCAAATTCAACAAGTTCTTGAAGACCACAGGTATATCTCGCTGATTGTAAGTTGTGAAGCTCACGGAAACTTAACTGTTGTTTATCAGAGCCTGGCAGTCGGAAGTTCAAAAGGTATTTAATGGAACTTCCACTCTTTCCTTGCCAGAGCTGCTTTCCCTCCAGGTAAAAGAAATTAAGGAAACATTTTTTCTAGTTATTTACCGTTCCCTTCTACTCACTTCGGTTCTTGATTATTCCAGGAAGCAGGGGAAGCGAGTATAATTCAAAGTATGGAGGTAGACTTGTTAGATACGGAAATAGTAGGAGTTGGAGCGTGGTTAGTACGGTGCGAGGAAGTTGTAGGCACGGCACATAATAACCTTAGGGACGGTCTTCTTCAGGTGAAGTTCTGCATATAGGCGTTTGGATGTACTAATGCAATGTCTGTGTGTTGACAGCTTAAAAGGTCGGCAGATCACGCTCTTCGGATTGTTGGCCTGTCCAACAAAGAGATCAAAGGGTCCTGCGTATGCCAGGAAGCTGCAGATGAATCTGATAACACTTCTTTAAGTTGTGACAAATGTAGGGATAGGTAAGTTTTCACTGCTTCAAGAGTTTAGAATTCTAATCATACTGGTTGAGCAGGTTTCACGCGCGTTGCGTCGGCGTTACACAGTTTCAAACAATAACACAAAATCAAAGGCAATACGTGTGTCCGTTTTGTACAGCTATATCGTCTGGGGCAGTATTTTCAAAGGATGACGTGACCAGTAAGGTAGTGTATATCTGCCGATTGGATCTGGCCAAATCTTATTCTCAACTTTCAGATGTGTGCAACACAAAAGGCTACACTGTCTTCGCTAGTTGAGCTTGCAAATGCAGCTAAAGCACTACATTGCAGGTATAGTTTTTATCTTCTAGAAAGTAACCACAACCCGGTTTTTGCACGTAACAGGGTGGAAGAGGAGGATTTGGTTGAAAGTATCTTGGAATCTGTCTTTACGTGGCAGGAATGGGTACATAAAACTGTGACACCTATGCTAGCCAATGACAGACGAGAGGTGGATCTTCAAGTCCTTCGGTCCGCCTTAAAGGTAAGCCTGACTCGTCGACTTTTTCAAGATCTGATGGAAGTGTGTCGCAGGCAGCATGCATGATGCAAGTGTACGATGACGCAAGTGCCGAAGTGAAGCGTGCGGTTGCTGTGCGTGCTTGGCGCATACGCACCAAAAAGTTGCTGGACAGCGTTGAAAAGCCTTGTTTTCGTTCCATTTGCCGGGCTTTAGAAGAAGTAAGTCACTGGTTCTTAATTAGATTGTAACCCGCAGCCTGTGCAGGCAGTAGCCATGAGCGTCCCAACGGAAGACGGGTTGCTGCTCGACGTAAGAAGCCGAGAAGCAGAGGCGTCTGCCTGGGCCAATCGCGTTAAACAGGTAAGCTGTGGAAGCATCCACTGAATTTCAAGTATTAAGTTGCTATACAGGTGGTGGAAGACGGTGGAGTTACACCCCTGGAGGATGTGATGAGGCTCATCTCGAAAGCTGACGGGCTGCGTGTGACTGTGACGAAGGAGCTAACGGTATGAAGAATGGAATTTCTTTCGTTCTCTAAGCGGGATGAATGAATGCTTTTCAGGCATTGCGAGCAAGGAGCGTGCTGTATTGCATCTGCCGAAGGCCTTACGACGAGGCTCGAGCTATGATCGGGTGCGATCGCTGCGGCGAGTGGTACCACTTCAGCTGCATCAACCTCCCAGAGCCGGAGAGCAACGACGGCGACTGTGATGCTTGCCTGCGTGACGAGCTCGGGCCGAGCGGCGAGTTCTTCTGCCCGGCGTGCAAGAAAGTCGGCAAGACCAAAGAGCACATCCGCCTGCTCGATGGTGGCCGGGTGGTGGCAACGAGCACGAAACGCTGTAGCAGCAACGGTGGCAACAGTGGTCGGCGGCAGCGGCAGCGTCTTCGCCAGGATCACGAAGACGACATGGATTACAGGGAGGAGGAAGAAGAGGAGGAGGAGGAGGAGGAAGAGGAGGAAGAGATCATCTTGGAGGAAGAAGAGTATGACGAGGGAGGGGGCGATGGAGGAGGGGGAGTTTTGGATAGCTCCTCCAAAGTAAGGCCATGTCGAAGGACCGCCGGCCAACACAGAGGCTTTGACAGTTTTGTGATGCTCACCAGATAGCCAGCCAGCTCCTCTAGCTAATAAGCTATTGTCATTCATTCTTTTGTATATTATATTAGCTCTAATTGGAAATAAGTCTAAACGTTATTTAGTCTAACCCTTGTCTCATTTAGGGTTTTTGGGCTTCGCGAGGTCGGGCGATGGCGAGCCTGTTCAAGGTAAGGCGCTTGGATGGATGGAAATGCTGCTGATGATTGCCCGAGCTGCGCAGAAGAAGGAAATATCGGCGTACAAGGATCGGCGATTCGCAGGCACGCAGGTGGAGTATGAGGAGGCATTGCAGACCTCGGTCACGGTCTATGTGGGAAATCTCTCCTTCTACACCACCGAGGAGCAGCTGTACGAGCTCTTCTCGCGCTGCGGCGAGATCAAGCGGATCGTCATGGGCCTGGACAAGAACAACAAGACGCCGTGTGGATTTTGCTTCATCATGTCCGTCTTGCTGCTTCTTTCTTCTTGGATCGACTGACGAATCTTCTTCTTGTTCTTGGCAGATTTTACACTCGAGACGATGCCCAGGACTCTGTCAAGTACATAAGCGGCACCATTCTCGACGACAGGCCGATTCGTGTGGATTTCGACTGGGGTTTCGAGGATGGGCGACAGTGGGGAAGGGGAAGGAGTGGCGGCCAGGTAAAAGAGATTGACGCCATCTTCTCTAAGTGGCTTCCACATTTTCTTCCTTTCAGGTCCGGGATGAGTACCGCACAGACTATGATCCAGATATCCATTTCTTTCTTTTCCATTGCTCGTTTATTTTTTCTCATGCATTCGCGGACCTTAACTAGCGAGCTCACGCAGAGGAGGATATGGAAAGCTGGTACAAAAGGAGCTGGAGAGTCGTAGATCTTTAGTCGACTATTCAGCGGGTGGCCTTGCAACGACGTCGTCAACGATTGTGAAGAATCCTTGTGAGTGTTTTCGTGCTTTTCAAGTGAAGCTCTACTGGGTGCTAATGATGATGGTGATTCCATTGCCTGTGCTCGCTTAGATGGTGGTGGTGTCAGGAACAGGGGTAAGCTCCTCATTTTGCAAACATTCCCATCGGTGCACTAAGTTTCTCTGTCATGCCCAGATCGCAAGCGGAGGAGGGACGACGAGCGAATGCCGGCGGATGGCGTCAAGAGCTACAGTCACAGGGACAATCGGGTAGAAAAAAAAAAACTCTTTGGTTTTTCCGCGCCAGCCGATTTGCGTTATATACTAACACGATGTCCATGCACAGGAAAAGAATCCGCGTTTCCGGGACAAGGGAGACTCGGACGACGAGGAGACCCGAGGGGGAGGCGTGTAATAAGAAACTCAGGTTCATTCATGTGGATCTATCAGCTAAACTTTTTAAAAGCTCTCTTTTAGCAACCAAATTAGCGTCTCTCGGAGCTACCTAAGGAGGAAGGAGGAGGAGGGACTATAGTTTAGGCTATAAAGGCAGGCAGGATAAACAGGGATATGGCTAGCAGCGCGCCGTAGCGAGCACGGTGGACAGGGAAAAGCAATGGCGGTTGCTTTGGAAGTTAGCACAGGGGGATCGGCGATCGATGGTGAAAGAATTGGGAGGATTTGCGAGGAGGAGGAGGAGGAGGAGGCGGATCCATGGCAGCCAAGTTGTTGACCCAAGATCGCGACTTTTGTGACTGGAGGGTAGGAGTGGACTTGGGATCATCGCGGGAGGAGATCGGGGAGGGAGGAGGATCCGAGGATGCAAAGCAGTGTCGTGAGAATTGCGGGAGCAATCCGAGGGATCTCGATAGCAGCGATTGTGAGCTTCGTGAGTGGAGCTCTGCTGCTCCGGCTGCTCATGGTGGAAGGCCCGGCGCTGCGATCCCTGCAACTGACTTGGGCAGCGCCAGTTCTCCGCGCGGCGATGGCGCCCACCTCCGCCTCCTCCGCCGCCTCCGCCTCGGCGCTCGAGCAGCTCATCCCAGCGCCGGCTCCCGCCCCTCTTCCCGATCCCGCTGACACCGCCGCCGCCACCACCGACGTGGACACCACGGAACTCCTGGTGGCTATGGTGTCGTCGATCCCGCCATCCAGCATGCAGCCGGTGGCGCTGTGGGAGCTCTTCAAGCCCGTGATGGCTCGCCGGGATCTCTTTGCGGAGGCGAGGACCAAGATGACGGACGCGTGGAATGCCTGGCAGCAGCTGCTCGAGTTTTTGAGGGACGCCGCCGCCTCCGCCGCCACCAGGAAGGCGAGCAGCGAGGAGCGCCACTGCCCCTACTCGGTCAGCTGGCTCAACGCCACGGACTTGAGCAAGGGGGGCCGCGTTGTGGCGGACATACCGTGCGGCCTGGTGCTGGACTCATCCATCACGCTGGTCGGAGCGCCCGCCGGCGTCATGGGCGACTTCCGGATTGATCTTGTCGGGCAGAGCTTCCCGGGTGAGAGGGCCGAGGCGCCAATTATCCTCCATCACAACATCCGGTTGGGCGGAGATCAGCTCTCTCCCCGAGCTGTGATCGTACAAAACACTTGGACTGCGGCCACGGACTGGGCGGACGAGGAACGATGCCCGCCTCCTCCGGCATCGCAGCAAGATCTCCGGACAGGTACTTAAAACTCTCGGTTGACCACCACCACCACCTCGATCGTGCAAAGTGTTTATTTCTTCTCCCTCTCTCTAACGTATTTTTTCGTGGCAGTGGATGGTCTCGCGATGTGTGCCCCGCAAGTGGGCATTCGAGACTCGCCTGCAAACGCAAACGCTTCGTCGTCGCCTCCCTCGAAGTGGCCTGGTGGGATAACTCAGCAGCACGGCAAGAAACCATGGTTTCCTTATGCCGACGGCCATCCTTTTGCTGCGACGGTGTGGGCTGGATGGGATGGATTTCACGTAACGGTGGACGGGAAGCACGTAACGTCGTTCGAGTATAGGCAGGCAGGTGCTCTTTCATCTCGCTTTGATGCTCAAGCTCAAGTTTTTTCTCCTGTGCTTCTTCAGAACTTGGAGCCGTGGATGGTGAGCAGTGTCCGGCTGGAGGGGAGTTTGTTGCTCACGTCGCTGATTGCGAATGGACTGCCCACCTCCGAGGATCAAAACACGCTCCGAGACTTGGACCGCCTGAAAGCGCCGCCTTTGCCCCCCAAAGGCAAGGCCTTGGATATGTTCATTGGTGTGTTTTCCACCGGGAACAACTTTGAGAGAAGGATGGCGGTGAGGAGATCCTGGATGCAGTACGAGCTTGTGAGGTCTGGTAAGATTGCGGTGCGCTTCTTTGTGGGACTGGTATGGTGTTTGTGCTTTTCATTTCCTTCGACTCGACCTGATAAAGCTTGTGGCATTGTAGGACCAAAACCAACAGGTGAATGTGGAGCTGTGGAAGGAGGCCGTGGCTTATGGCGACATTCAGCTGTTACCATTTATCGATTACTACAACCTCATCACGCTGAAAACGCTAGCCATTTGCATCTATGCAGTAAGCAGTGTCTTTTCTTTCCTTGCTTACCGTTTGTTCTCGTGGTTGCAGACGAAGATTGTCAAGTCGCGGTACGTGATGAAGACTGACGATGACACGTTCGTGAGGGTGGACGAAGTGTACGCTTCCGTTAGGCGGACCAACCGAAGCGAGGCTCTTTTGTATGGACTGATCGAAGGGGACTCGAAACCCAACCGTGACTACCGCAGCAAGTGGTATATCACAGAAGAGGTGAGTTCATTGCCTAGTTTGCTTCCAAGAGGCTCACTCGCTTTGTCAGGAGTGGCCTCTTCCTCGGTATCCTCCTTGGGCTCACGGTCCAGGCTACATTTTTTCCCGTGATATCGCCCGGTTTGTGGTGAAGAGGAACGAGGAGATGCGCCTCAAGGTAGCCGAGACTTAATTCTTCCAGTGGCTAACGTGTTTGGCTGCAGCTGTTTAAGCTGGAGGACGTTGCAATGGGTGCGTGGATTGAAGAGTATGGTCGGGTACGCAAGAAGAACGTAAGCTACGCCAGCGACGCCAATTTTCTCAGCGATAACTGCAAGGATGGGTATAAGATTGCGCACTATCAAAACCCCCGGCAAATGATTTGTTTGTGGCAACACTTGGAGCAAGGCTCCGGGCCTTTGTGTTGCAACTGAGAGAGCTCGTTTTGAGCCGCGTTTGTGTACATAAAAGCTGGAGTAGTCGTGATCAATTCGGAAAACTTTTGGAGGTGTAGTTTACCTCTTACACGATCAAATATTCCCGAAAGATAAGAAACGGAGAGAGAGATTGTTTGATGTGCAATTTTTGGACTTACTGAGTGCCGTTGGATAAGAATATACTCAATTATTTTGAAACTGAGGTCAATGAGGGTCGTCCTCCCAGGTATGGAAGGCGCAGAATCTCCATTTGCGAGGAGATCCTCTGGCGGCGGCGTGGAAGACAATGCAGCTGTGATCCGCATTGTAGAAGTTCCTCTACATTCGCCTCCGGATGGCACAACGACATGGATGTCAGGTGTCTCAGCAGCCTCGAGAGGCAGCGCATCCTCGACGCGCCTTTCACTAGCACCGATCAGGATAATCTTCGCTTGCTCGAGCGAACGCATTGACAGGTCGAGTTCCCTCTTTTTTCTTGCTTTGTTCTTCCTACTTAAAACAGACTGAAAACGGGGTAGCTCGCTTGGCTTGGGGCATGACAGAGTTGGGATTGAGCTTCCCAAGGTGGAAGTGCGTTTCGAGCATCTGTGCGTCAGTGTACGCGGGCTCCAGAGCCGAGTCTTGTCAACTTTGTTAGAAACTTTGCAGAGGTGGGCGAAGTTCTCTAGTATCGTCTTTTACAGAAGCGGCTTTCTCCCACAGGGATATTTTGGTTGCTTGCAAAGTGTTGTCAAGCAAGAAAAAAAATTTCACAATTGTCAAGGAGGTCACAGGAGTGATCAGACCTGGGAGGTGACATGATTTAAGGAGACTAAAGAAACTGGAAACTGACAGAGTGTTTCCAGTGCGGGATGACTCTATTGTTAGGACGTCCTGGGGCTACAAAGCTGGTTTGATTTCTCTGGACTGTTTATGAAACATAACCTTTTAAAATTCCAGAGATCCTGAGCGAGTTGTCACGCAAAGAAAAGGAGCTGGACATCCACCCGGACCCTGAGATCGATGCCTTTATGAAGGTATGCATTCTTCTTTCTCTTGCCGAGTTTTCAAGGCATTATAGCTAGCTTCCAGGCCATTGGACTCTGTCAACAGGTTACATAATGAAAGTTCTTGGGCCGAAAGTTTGTGCAGACACGTTGGTATGGTTCGTGAGGTCTCAGGGGGTCAAAGAAATCGCGTCACTACAGGTAGACTAAAGTCACAAGATAAGCTTCTAACACAACTTTCTTTAACAGGTGAAATGGTTGTTGGTCCCAAGAAGACACTCTTTATGGACGAGATATCAACCGGGCTCAATAGCTCTACCATTGTCAACTTCGTCCGAAACTTTGTGCATTTTCTCGACGCACAGTTCTCATGTCACTTGTTCACCCTTCGCCAGAAACGTATGACCTCTTTGACGAAATATTGCTTTATGATCTCTTTGACAACGGATTATTGTTTATCTCGGGCCGAGGGAAAAGATATTGAACTTTTTCGAAGCGTGCTTCAAATTGCCAAGAGTTGCCGATTTCCTTCAAGAGGTAGACTTGAATTTTTCTCATTTGTTTTATTATTTGTGAAAAAAAAAATCTCCTGTCGGATCTGATATTTTTTCTTTCTGAACTTTTTCTTTACAGGTGACTTCCAAGAAGGATCAAAGGCAATATTGGCCAATAAGTCGAGACCATATCAGTACATTTCTGTTCCAGAATTTAAAAGCCTTCTGATAATATCAAGTTGGTAAAGATTTGACGACGCATCTCTCCATTCCTTACAAAGGTCATCCTTCCGCGTTTTCTAAGAAGTGTCGAACTCGGAATTATTTGCGACCCTCGCCATCGCTTTCTGTACATTTTTCGCACTTGCCAGGTTTTGTTCTTTTGATTGTAATTTAACCTGTAGCTGTGCTGTCCATAATTACAGGCACGTTATTCCTGTGAACCAGAATCAAATCAGATAATGAAGTTCACAGCAAGCACTTTGTTCTTTTCTCTTTTTCATATGATGTATAATGGTTTCAGCGAGATGGCCATCACAGGTTACGATCTTCTACAAGCAAAGAGATAATCGCTTCTATCCCGAGTTTGATTTTAAGAATTCCCTACTCGGTACTGGAAGCGGTTATTTGGTCGTGTATTCTTTACTACACCGTCGGTTTCACACCAGAGTGGAAGGTGTGGCACATTTGCGTCACGAGATAAAGTTTTTGTTTCTCATTTTTCGCAGGTTTTTCCGGTTCATGCTGTTGTTACAGATATGGGATTGGGGATGTTTCGGCTGATTGAATCGCTTGCAAGAGATATGGTCGTTGCTACACTTTTGGTTCCTTTTCTCTTATCATGATGTGGTTTCATCATCTCCAAAGGTTAAGATGTTTAAGGAGTTGACTAAGCAGGGTCTTTGCTTCCCAACGCTCTGAGTGAAGTTCAGCAAAAGCCAACTCAAGCTCATAGGTGGTGTGAGAATGTTGTAGCCTTCCCAGTAAACGAGAATATTGTAGCCTTCCCTTTCAAGATTTGGCATTCCTCTCCCTGCATCATCAGTAGCTTTGCAAACCTCTGCACCTCAATCTCGTGAATTTCTTGTCCCTGACGAATGCCCTCTGCCACCCTTTGCATCCGACGGCTGGGAAATGCCTAACTTACAAGCGACCAAGTTGACGAATCTGATGTCGATCTGTGGTAACATTGAGAATGTCAATGTCAGATGCAATGCCATCACCAGAAGCTCCTCTCCCCAACAACACAACCTTGTATAAATCCTTATTCCTAGATGCATCTGAATGGTGCCAATTACCTGTTTGACAGAATTACAGGTCCTCCTCCATGGAAGCAGCAATACAGCCCTGGACTCGCGGGGCAGCGTGAAGCTAGAGCAAAAGTAAACGTCTGAAAGTCAGCTCACCAGCAGTGGGAGCACATGCCGCCCCACATGCCACAGCATGTAAAAAAGCCGAGAGTTGCAAAATCACATCAGAGGAATCACAAAGAAGTCCTTCACGAAAGTTCATCCCAACAGGAGCGCAGATCCCCATGTACTGAGAAATGTCACTGTCGATCTAGCAACCAAGTGCACTGCATTCAGAAAGTGATGACACTGTCTGTTATGAGTCTGGATACCTGGTTTGTGTCGGCGTCCAGTTCGATCCAAGCGCTGCGGCTTCGCCCACTGATCTCGCGAATGCAGTAGCCGCCACCATCAAAACCATGGACTTGCCATCTCTCAGCGCCTGCCTCGCAGCGGTGGTCTTGGCATCGGAGCCCCCACCTGTGAACCCGTAGAATTTCCATGACCTGTTTCAAGCAGAAATCATTTATGGAAAAAGAAAAGCGAGAGATTGTTTTCTCACGTACGTGTTTTGTTCATTCCCTGCATGGCGATGATTCCAGGGCGATGGAGATAAAACTTTCCCATAGTTTTCCTGCAAAACAGTCGTAACGCTTTCACAAATTTTACGGAAAGAACAGCCACTATTGGACGAAGAATCACGAAAGCTACACAACACTGGTGAACTCTTACCGTTTGAAGCTCCTCAATTGTAAAGTCCACTGCGCAAAGTAGAAGGAAACATAGAGAGGACTAAATCCATTTTGTCCAATTCGAGAATTTGATCGTTGAATTTCTAGGGTTTAGGGTTCTTCCCCAAAGAAATGGGGAAGAAGAAAGAGAAGAAGCCGGGAAAGGGGAAGGAGAAGACCGAGCGCAAGACGGCTAAGGCGGCAGAGAAGCGTGCTCGTCGCGACGACAAGAAGGTTTCGGATGAGGATGACATTGATGCGATCCTGGTAAGCAAAGGGCATTCTCGACAAGCTATTTGTTCTCATTCGTTTTCATTTTGTTAGGCTAAAATCCAGAAGGAGGAAGCAAAGAAGAGCGACGTTCACGTCGATGAGAATGTAGCAGCGCCTTCACCACGATCCAATTGCTCTGTGCGTAAGAGTTTGATCAAAATCTCCACCCTGGAAGCTCACATTCTTTGAGAATTCTTTTCTTTGCGTTTCAGGTGACTGTAAACCCCGTCAAGGACACTGAGCTGATCGTGTATGGAGGTGAATTCTATAACGGTGACAAGGTTTATGATTCCCTCTTCTCCTTTTCTTTCGCTACGGTGATTTGATCTTCGTGCTTGCTATGCTAGACTTACGTTTATGGTAATCTCTATCGATACAATATCGAGAAGAACGAGTGGAAGCTTGTCACCAGTCCAAACAGTCCTCCCCCGAGAAGTGCTCACCAGGCGGTTGCATGGAAAAATTGGCTCTTCATTTTTGGTATGTCAAGAGAGTATGTATCTTCCACAGCTTTGCTTGACACCTGTAGTGTAGGTGGTGAATTCACGTCTCCAAATCAGGAGAGATTTCATCACTATAAGGTGGGCTTCTATCTGCTTTTTTCTTCGTTTCTCGACAAGAGATCTCTTGTAGGATTTATGGAGACTGGACCTAAACACAAATGTGTGGGAGCAGCTTCAACTAAAAGGCTCCCCAGGTGCTCGTTCCGGACATAGATTGGTGAGGATTGCGCTTCTAACAGACCGTGTAATCTCTCTTTCTTGGCACAGGTTCTCTACAAACATAAACTTATTCTATTTGGTGGATTTTATGACACGCTGCGGGAAGTAAGGTTCGTGGTTTCAGCAATGTAGATGTTTAGTTTTTAATGTTCGGCACAGGTACTTCAATGATCTTTACGTGCTGGATTTAGACGACTACAAGGTTGGTTTTCGTGACCTTCCTTCCTTCCTTCCTTCCTTTTCTAATAGCTTTTCTTCTGCAGTGGCAAGAGATAAAACCCAAGCTTGGAGCTGCCTGGCCTTCGGCTAGAAGTGGTTTTCAGTTTGCTGTTTATTTAGATGAGGTATTTGTCTCCTAAAAAGCATATTTTTGCGTGTTATGAACATTTTTTCTTTTCCAGATTTTCTTGTACGGTGGCTATTTCAAAGAGCCTGCCCCTGACAAAGATCAATCCGACAAAGGTGTAGTGCTCGCAGATATGTGGACGTTAGATCCACGGAATTGGGAGTGGGACAAGGTTTGCTATATTTACATTCTCGTTTTGGTGGATTTTTTAATGTTTTGCTGTGTTTTGTGAAGGTGAAAAAATCTGGTATGGCTCCTGGGCCAAGAGCAGGATTTTCTATGTGTGTCCACAAGAAACGAGCCATCTTGTTTGGTGGTGTAGTTGATACTGACGATAAAGGTTAGGATCCATGCCTTGGTTAACAGAAAAACTTATGTCTTTTGCAGGTGATTCGCTGCACAGCGTTTTTATGAACGAGATGTATGCTTTTCAGATGGACAATCGCAGATGGTTTGTCTCTCGTTTGTTGTCAAAAACTTATCTGAACATCTTCGCAGGTATCCTTTGGAGCTTCGCAAGCCAAAGAGCCTCAAGAATAAGGTACGTCAATCCGAGATTGTTTAGTCGTTAAGTATGCATCCAAAGCAGAAGAAAGTGGTCAATCCAAATGTGGATAATACGTCTGTAGAAGGAGAAGGCGTTGAGAGTCAAATGGAAGCTACAACCTTGGAAGACGAACCCACGACTGAGTTCCAGGTCTTGTTTGCGTTTCATTTCCGCCACAAGTATATAACGTTGAGCGTTTGATGTGAAGGTTGTTAAGCCTTGCGGTAGAATCCATGCTGGAATGGTTGTTGGAAAGGATACTTTGTTTCTGTATGGAGGTATGAAAGAAGTCGGGGAGAAAGAAGTGACACTCGACGACCTTTTCTCGCTGGACCTGAATAAACTCGATGCGTGGAAGTGCATTATTGAGGTCAGTGCTTTCGTGATCGAGCTATCCAGCAGCTTTTTACTAATGTCCCAAGCAGGAAACACAAAGTGAATGGATTGAAGTTAGTGACGAGGAAGGTGAAAGTGATGATGACAACAGTGATGCTGGATCGATTAGTAATGGAACAGATGACGAGGAGGATGATGGCGAGGTAGTAAAAGAGAAATATATAGCAAAACTTGTATGTTTACTCTTGTATTCCAGGATGCAGCGGAGTCATCGCAACGAGTTGAAGAGGCAGCTGCTATTCTGAGGGGCGAAGGCAAAAGACTGACACGAAAGGCACGGAAATTAAAGATCGATCAAATGCGGTCCGAGCTGGGCCTAGCTGATTCCCAACGAACACCCTTGGTGAGTGATGATAGTAGTCCATCTTCTCGTTTTGTTATTGATTTGTCTTCCAGCCTGGGGAAACGCTGAGAGATTTTTTCTCCCGGACGATCATGTATTGGCAAATGGCTGCTTACGACCACACCCAACACACTGGAAAGGTGATGACGCAGGTTTTCTTTCGCTCGTTCTTCATGCTCTTTGCATCTATCAGGAGCTTAGGAAGGATGGATTTGACTTGGCGGAGACACGCTACAGAGAACTTAAACCCGTCCTGGACGAGGTAAAGTGGTGTCTCGAGAAGAATTCTCACAACAAACATTGTTTACTTTGCAGCTCGCAAGACTTGAAGCCGACCAAAAGGCCGAAGAGGAAGAAGAGGCTACCAAACCTTCCAAGAAGCGCAGCAATAAATGAATAGATTACAGTTATTCTCAAAGGCATGGTAGTGTCAACTTTCTTCGTTTTCTAATGCCATTGACACGAAACCAATCTCTATCTTTCGTCAGGTGATAGAATTTTGCCTTTGCTCCTCCGTAATCTTGGATTCTTGGAGACTGGTTCAAGGCACGTCTGACGAGACGCTAGCTGCAGCCTCGGTTTCTGCTGGAGCAACCTCCTCCTGGCACTGTTGTCGTAGCTGGAAGAAAGAGAAGAGTTTTACACTGGAAAGAGAAAAGAAAATGTTACCTCCAGCTGTGCGTGTAGGTGCTCACTGCCATAGCAAGCAACAGAGAAAGAAATACGGAACAGGAAAAAGAAAGCAGCAGCAGTGTTTCAAGCACAAGTAACAAAATGAAGAAAACAAGAGAGAGAAGAAAAGATTGTTTTTTTCATGTTGATGAAGACTGGACTCTTGATTTCGAGAAAATGTGTTGTAACTTTCATTCAACAGTTTCTAGAAATTTTCTGGAAGCGTTAGCTAGTGACTATGCACACGGGAATAGGGGTTTGCCCACCGGCCAGGTGCCCCAGAGAGCCAGCCTCAGCGGGGCCAATGCACGGAGAGACCAACCACCGGGAGGCCGGTGACACTGCTGCTGGTGGTGGCTAGAACTCTTAGTCTTTGAAGCTCTTCAAATGTAAAGTCCATGAAGTCCACTATACACAAGGAAGAATGATGATGACAAAAGAATGAGAACAAAGAGGACGTTGCGCATGAATGCTCATGGGATACACCATCAGAACCTCCCTCTGCATCTTTCCTGTGGTGTAGCTCAAACACGAAGGTCACAGATTCCTACTCCCGAATCTTTGCGGATATGTAAATATATATAGATTATCGCAAAAATTAGGTGACTGTCCATTTTCTCCTCAGCTGACTGTGTACGAATCTTTGCAGTATAAGTGAAGTGAACGCAATGACTCGTCAATCTAAGTGAATTTAGATTTAGTATGCTCGTTAATATGGAAGTTTTTTTCAGATTTTAGCTGATGTGTCTGGTCTGCCGGCTTGTAGAACAACACAAGAGGTGCTGTGGAACTCGTGTCCAACCCATCAATCATTTTCATGGATGAGCCACCGCCAGGATTGGATGCTCGCGCAGCCACGAGGATGTTGATACTGGACGAACTGTCGTTTGTACAACAAGCATAGACATCTTACGAGGTAAACTGCCTTGAACTTAACATTGGAAATTGCCTTCTCAGATTTGTTGATGAACGAGGTGCCGCATAATCTACATGGGCCCGCTTGGAAAGGACTCACAACTTCTAATTGACTACTTTATGGTACGTGAGCCGTGATATTTTGCGTAACTTGGCATTGTTTGTATAGGCGATCAAAGATGGCTGTAACCCTGTAACATGGATGCTTGAAGCGTCTTCAAAAGGATTTTGGTGACATCTTATGTTGCGTCAAATCTGCACATGTTCGGTTTTATTCGCAGGTGTATTTTGTTCACTTGCAATACTGTTTTTGACGTAGTGAAATCCAAAGGCTGATACGAGAATTGAGTGTGCCCGCATCTGGTTTACAGTTCCGATAGAGTATTCGCAAGATTCACTATAAGGACTGCATTTGGAAGCAGAACTTGACGTATTCCAAACTGCAATGCCCTTCGGTTTCCATTCACAACGACGTGTGCTTTGATTTTCGGAACAGTTTTCTGGGGAGTAGGAAGCAAAAGGTACAATGCTTTCACAAGTTTGACGCTTGAATATTTGTTCAGTCTAATGGGAGCTATGTATTCTTTTCCTTGGTGTCAACAATGCATCCAGCGTTCAACCCGTTGTGGCTATCGAGCGCACTGTTTTCTATCGTGAGCGGGGAGCTGGAATTTACTCGCCTCTCCCTTATGCTCCCATTACGTTTATTCTGCTAGTTGATACGAAGGCCCCATCTTACCTATGGCAGGTAATTCTTTCTTTTAATTTTCTTACTCAATCGTTACTCTCTTGCATACATTTTCTTCATGTTCTTGACCTTCACTTACTGCATGCTCTTACTCCCACTCAACAGATACCTGCGGTGCTTTCATCTGGATTTTATTCTAGGTGGAATCTCTTTTCGGGATTTGTAATAGTCTCTCCAGTCCTTTTTCCTTGTACTGGATCAAATCAAATCGCTGCAACTCTCGCAGATCATGCCTTCTTGGTGGAGCTGGTACTATCGAATAAGTCCAGTTGCCTGGACCCTGAGCTCGGAGACGTGAAGCAAGTCATGACTGCTCAAAGCTGGGGGAGGAAGACACCAGCGATATCAAAGACAAAGATATCAACAAGGCTAAGATCCAGAGACGAGTTTGCTTATTTAACTTCCAGAAACGCTAAGCTTGGGTATGTTAGAAGAGCCTTCTATTGATCCCAAATCTTATTTACACTTCGCATGTATAGCAAAACTGGCCGTCACACGGCCTGATGAAGAAGCCTACTGCTCACCCCGGCCCTGTAGAGCTGCAACGCATCCTGCACAGGATGTTCTCCATCGCCATAGCTTTCCTCCACGTCCATCACCGCCGACACCTCCAGCTCCGTGCCAGCGACGAGCATGAAGATATTCCCCCGCACCAGCCCCGCGATGATGCTGTTGGCCTCGTCCTCTTTCCCGACCCGGCTCAACACTCCCATACCTCTGTAGACGAGAAAGATCGATGGCCCGCACGGTGATGAGATCTTGGCCGTGCCACCCACCGGAACGCATATGTGGTCCACCTCAAACTCATCCGATGGTGGCGAGTAGCGTCGGGTGAAGGGGTTGACGTAGCAACCGTCTAGAATCTGTGGCGGACCCTGTACGTTACGAGAGAGATGCGTCACCCAAACTGATATCTCAAACAGTAAAGAAATAAAGGGGAGACTGTTTTACTTGCCTGGTTGTAACTGAGCATGGAGCAGAGAGTTTGCGTGTCCCGAAACTTTGGCGTCAGGCCGGCCCGGACCACGTTGTCGGAGGTGGCCATGCATTCGACGCACTCGCCGTAGAGGTAAGCGTGCGGCTCGTTCGCGTCGAGGAACACGGCCTGGCCGGCCTCCAAGTTGGTGTAGTTTAAAAAGAAGGCGGACAGGACACCGACGTCGCCCGGGTACTGCTTCTCCAGGCTCACAACCAGCTCCTCTTTGGGGCTCAGCCCTCCAGCAGCCTGATTGCAAGCAAGAAACGATGAGAAACAACGACAACGAAAACGAAGAGAGCCGGAGGGACCTTGGACTTGCGCTTGAGACGATCAATGAGGTTGGAGAGGGTGTGCGTCACAACGCTCTCGTCCAGTGTCATGAGGCACGTAAATGCTCTCCGCAACACGTCCTTGGCGCTCTGGCCGCAGCCGCTACGAATGACGCTCTCCACCACCAGCGGTCCCAACGCGTCGCGCAGCTCGGGGACGGATTCCAGCGCCGCCTGGAGCTCCTGAAAAGCATGGCGATCGTGTGTGAGATCCATTCTCCTCTAGTTTTCTCGCGAGCTCGTTTACCTGTGAAGTCACGAATCCACACAAGGCACCGAAGCGCGTGAGAGCCAAGGCCAGCTCCGGCTTGTGGTTTGCATCCTTGTACACTTGAGGGTTCTTGCCATGCAAATACTCGGCCAGCTTCTTGTCTGGGTGCGCTTGGATGGACAGCGCCTTGGCCACCGACAACACCTGGACGAAGAAAGAGATCGAGTGAGCGAGCGAGCGAGCGAGAGACACCGACCTTGAAGAGAAAAGGCAAATCTCCATTCCAGCGCTCCAGGACGCGATCGCCCAGCGCCTCGGGGTGGCGCTGGAGCCAATCCTTGAGTAGAATTTGGCCGGCACCACCCCGGCGCAGCACCGTCGACGGCCCCGACGCGTGCGTTCCCATCCACAGCTCCGCGTAGGGCACATCCGCGTCCACCGCGCTGCCGGTCATGAGCGCGTGAAGCCGACCCACCTCGCTCTCCTCGCCAATTCGCCCCCACTCGTAGTGCTGGACCTGGCACTGGAGCCGGATCATGCCGCCATGCGCTCCTCCACCTCCGCCTTCCTCCATCGCCATGACGCGAGAGAGAGAGAGATCAAATCTAAAGGAAAAGCCTAAATTTCTTCCCCGGGTAGGGAAAAATTTAAAGGGTGGCCCTTATAAAGTGAACTTGACATAGTTTTGATTAAAATCGTTAGGCCTTTTTTAGGTGCAACGCAACCATAGCTGCAAGCCGCATTTCAACAACGACCACATGCCCAACAAACCATACGAAAACAATATATTTATCTATTCCAATCTTTTGGGCGATTGATTGCGACACAAAGGCAGTAGCAGCCCGAGTTTACATGGTCCTGATTGCTACTTACGTGGTGCCTTTCTCGGCCAGGGACAGCCCGCCCGCCACGAGCTTAGATTACCAAAAGGTGGCAAGCAAACACAGCACAGTGCTGCTTAACAAGAGTGCCTCGCAAGCAGCAGCTGCTGCTCGATCTTGGCCCTCGTCGCGGCCATGCGCTCGTAGCCATCGTCGCAGCTCTGTGCGGACGCAACCAGCTTCAAGAACACAGCACTGTCGTTGGGGGCAGCCGCAGTATTGTGGATGAGCTCCGAGAGAGGAACGAATCGTTGCTGCCGGTGCGATGCCCAGCCTTGAGCTGCACGGATTGCCGCTCCTGCCGACGCCGAGTCTGCGCATACAAATCAAGACACAAGTGGCTGAGAGGAGAAAGAGAGAGAGGGAGAGGTGTTTGTGGTGTTTGTACGCGTACCTGTTTGCTGGGCTTGGTAGACATCGCAAGCAAAGACGTTAGCCATGAGCTGCACCAGTTGCTGGTTGGCGGACGCTCCACCCGTTGCAATTATCCGGTTGGGTGGCATGGGCAGGCCGATGCGCTCCGCGTGCGCCCGCATTGACGCAAACTGGCCCTCCACCAGACCTCGCACCTGGAAAGTCACCGCGTTTTGATTAGATTTTGGATTTGCGACGATCGACACACAGGCGCAAAGCTAGAAGGTAAACCAGACCGAACAAAGTTAACGCGTACCTCCTCCGATGGAGAGAACTCGCCGGCTACTTCCGACACACTGTCGCCATCCACGACATAACGTTG